ATGTGCTCTTACAGCACTCAAGAATTTAGAATGCGCCACTAATGACACTCAGTTTATGTTAAAGTTTTCTGCAAGCACATTTCCTTAAATTCATTTTATATCTATATATGTATGTACATATGTCTTATATGTGCATTTGTGTGCAGTTATGTTCACATAATATATGCAGGTGTACCGAGTTCATGTAATTAATTACATAATGGCAGTAGGAGCTTGTGAAAATCTCTAAAGTTTGATCTAATTACTCACTTATTACTATGTAGATATGTACGAGTGTATGCATGCCCAACGGTATATACACGGTCGTACACCTATGGGTGGGCATGTAGTATGTATGTATGTACAATAGTACTTTTCACATGGTACTTTTTGTTTCTATATACCTACACACATACATATGTATGTACGCACATATAATCTCCTTCATATTTCAAACTAGCTTGTTGTAAGTGCCACATTTGGTGGCAAACAACTCTGGCTGCACCGCTAAAACAATTAGTAGGCGCGGAATTTTACATACGAATACACGCACAACAACACATATCTATATAAAACTGTACATACGAGTATACATGTATTTTCTTCCGCTTTACAGTCAGCAATAAAGCTACATGCCACACGGCAGGTAATGTGCTTAAGATTAATTTGCTGATTATTTTCTTAAATCATAACTCCTTTCACAGTTTTCGGCTAGCAGCGCAGGCGCCTGAGCTTAGGTAAGATAAATCAGTACATGTGTCAGTCATTTACTTAAGCAGTTGGTGGTGGCGCTGCTGCTTGGGTAGCGCCAATTGGACTGTGAGCATAATATTCAACGGGTTTGGGTTCGTTATATTCTCTTTTTTTGATAAATTAGGGACACAAATTAGTACATTTACATGCTTAAATGAGTGATTATAGACCACCTGCTTTGTTGGTTGCCAAACGAATAGTAGAAAAAAATTATAAATAAATACAAGTAAAGGCATGGGAACTTTTAATGTGGCTATTAAAAAGTATTTTTTCAAAAATAATTTACGAATTATTAATGAATTCCTTTTTAGTGATTTTCTGAATAAAATTTTTTACGATTTAAGGCTTCTAAGCAAAACCTTGTATTAATGTCATACTGCATAATTTAAAAATAATCAATAATTATAAAACTCTGCTCAATTTCTATATTGACTGCCGGATAAGTTGGTTGGTGAGAGGCCGCACTTGAGCCGTACTTAGCAGCATACAATTAAATTTTATAATTTTTTTTTCATTTTTTAGACTAATGATACCGTAGGTAATTCATACCCACAAGAATAGAAATTAAGAACTTGTACGATCTAAATAAATTAAAAAAAAACTTTTAAGATATCCAATTCGAAGGACTCTAAGTTTGATAACCACATAAATAAGACGGATTTTTAAATCGACTCGTCGACTTCTGCTTGATCGCATTTCCAAAAGCCGACAAATCCTTCAAATAATTTCCGCTTCCATTGAATTTATATTTTATATATCTAAATGGAGAAATTATTAGTTGGTTGAAAGGCCTTGAACGTAAGTGTCTGCACATAAGCCACACAAAATGATAGGGTTCCCATGTATTTCGCTCGAATTTAATAAACTAGATCAATTTCTTCCAACTATGAGTGTCCTATGCCGTGAGGCTGGAACTGAAAGCATCGTGGAATTCTTAACAATCGCAAAAGTATAGCTCCACTCTGACGATTCCACTTTACCTAGCTTGTGGTGATGCTACCTCAGCGGCAGATGAGCCGTCAGTATACTCAGAAGAATGATAAAATCTCATTTGTTTGGTAAACTCAATAGTTTACCAAAAAAAATTGGAGGTACGCTCTACGTTGCGAAAGTTCCAATACCTTAAGTGTTTCCCTATGTTCCACTGCTTTAAACCACATTTGAAGGCGTTGAGGGATTCCATATCTCGCGAGAGTCTGAATTTCCTCTTTGCATGTTCTAACGCATTTGAACCTTGACGCTTGGCAGCCTACAAGAAATCCGTTAGATTTTTTCTGTTAAAATGGTTTGTTAAATGGCTATAATCTCTACTTGGAATACAGAGTTTTAGTCATTGAGTATGAAGCTACCTTGGTTAGTAAAGTGATCATGATCTGCCTACCATTTAAACCCCACAGTGTCGGTCTGGATGTCTTGACATTTTCCGCTTATTCTTCTCTGTTACGAGGATGGAGTATGTAGCATTTGCCTGGTCGCATTTGGCGCTTAGAACGAGTTCTGATTTACTTTTTGATCTTCAGAATGCTGTTTTGTCCTACAGAGTTGACGCACTGCGCACAATTTTCCAGAACAGGCGACTAGCTGTTGGTGCTGATTCACATATAGCTGGTATATAAGTTTGGCTTGTTGAATGGGGCTTTGACCAAAGCCTAATCTCTGCATAAATTGGTGTATGAGAGTTATACGGAAATGTTTGAATCAACTGAAGCCATCATTGTGATCATTTTATATATAAAAATCAAGTGTCCGTTTGTGAAGAAGATCCGGTAATATCCAAAAGTTACCGACAGATTGATTGCCTTGAGATTTTGTCAGATTGTTTCTAGGGTTCCTACGTCACATAAACGAAACTATTTTCGGGAGAGAAATATTGTTAATGATTCGAAATTCTGGTACATAGATTAGCACGAAGACTAAACTTCTCCCTGAAGAGTGAATCAAGAACTGATTTCTTCGAAAAAATCGTATATTCGATTAGATTCAATTTAACGGCACAGTAATAATTAACGTTGATTAAATTGTTTATAATGAAAAAATTCTTCCACAAATTTGGTAACTTTTTTTAACTCGGGGTTAATTAAGGAGGGATGGTATTTTATTTATGAGATTTGAGAATGGAATGTAAACTATTTTTGAAACGGCGGGTGGACCGGAGACTTTTCTATTCTAATAAATCGGATTTACGGTTAAAAATTCTAGTAAATAGTTAGCCTTTTATTAGATTAGTGGGAACATTTTTTTCTTCTCCCGTAATGTACCACAGGCGACCAACACGAGAAATGTCATATTTATAGTTATTTTTTATTCAAATTCATATTTTCTCCGAAAGAGGACTGATGTTATTTTTCATATAAATTGACATATTTATGGTTCTATATGGTTAAATTTGTAGATGATTTTACTTAATTAAATATTTTTTTTCACCGGAAATGGACCAAGGACTTGACGCCTAATTAAGGAATTTTTATCATTCAGTTTAGAGCAAATACAGAAAGCCACAAAAATATATGACCTGCTATTATGGGTATAAATTTTCGATGGGTCTATCTTTTCTCTTTTTGGTATTTATAAATATATAAAGTTTATATATCATTGAATTCACATGAAAGCTATAATAATAATAATATTATTTTTTAAATTTGGGCAGATTTTTTCAGTGCAAAATGTTTCAGTGTATAAGTTTCTCCTAAAAATAATAGTAATAATAAAAATATTTATTAGAGCAGGCTTTCTAAATTCTTTACCAATTTCAAAACGCAGTTAAGAGCAAAAACTCACTATCATTGATAATTTTTCCAATGTAGAAAATGGATATAAATTTTTATTTTAAAGCTATATTTAAAGGGCACAACCATGCCATATTTTTCCATCTTCCTATAAATGTCCAACATTACTGCCGGACTAAAGAACTTTTTTATATTAAATAATGTTTTTATAAAATTTTTTATGACAAACTCAAAACGTTGCATACTAAGTAGTACGAGTTGTTTATAACCTCCCATTAAAAAAGGTGTCTCTCTTCCCAAACACACGTTCTTAATATTTCGAGATATTTTGGCCATCAGAAAGAGGAAAAACTTGAACAGGAAAACTAAGAAAAAATTGCTATAAAAAATAACAGAGGATTCCCACAACTCGTATGCATTACTGCATTTATATTTCACACATTTATTTACGATTATCGATTGTGTTTCACCTCAAAGGTATCAGCAGTGCTTCCTGCGCTATCTCCAAATAAATTTCGTATGCTTTTCATTCGTGCAGTTTATTCATATTCCATGTAGAAAAAGGCATTTAAAGTAGACTTTTAGGAAACAAATTTTTTTAAAATCAATTTATTTATCTAATTCTCATGTCATTCATTTATTTATTGCCTTTTTACTCGCGTTGAAAACTTTGTTTCTGAGCGGAAATATTATTTGCTTGAATTGTCGGTGGACGAATTACAAGCCGCAGATCATGTGGCATTGCTAAACGACTTAGTGCAGACAAAGCTGAATAACGGTTGAACAGGTTGAATTGCATGTGCTTAGACAGCGCGTAGCCGTAAGCGGATTTTTCTCACGATTTTAATTGGTTTATGGCCGCAAATGTAAAAAAAAAATGTCATATTAGAAAAAGGCCTTCTCCTCTCCTGCTTCTTTCATATGTCAGAAGGCGGCAAAAGCGACACTTTTTTATGCCACAAATGACGGCTACAAAAAATATCATAATGTTGCCACCGAAGATGAAAAAAGTCATAAACGCTGCCACAAATCGCTAAACGAGAGGCTCTTTAGAAATGTAAAAAAAAGAAGCGCAGAGATGTGTGCATTTTTATGGTTACGTGTACATATGTGTGTTTGTATCCTGGTGTTTTTTTTCTGCTTCTTATTTTCTTGCAACAACTACCATTAAAGTTTATTGCGCGGCTATTTAATTAGACGCGGCGGCATGTACGCATTGTGCCACTTATGGCTACCGGCAATCAACAGAGCAATTGAGTAGATATTTATATGTTTTCACATACCTACATGCATACATACAAATATGAGCAAATCAATAAAAGCACATATTGACCACTCTTTTACTATATTTGTAATCATTTTTCTACTTAAGGCTTTGCTAATGACTAACTATTACATGTTTTTTTCTTCTTTTCTTCTTCTTCTTCTACTTACAGCAAGCGGTAACGGCGTCACTAATTGAAAAAATAAAGAAATAGCAACAATATTGCAAAGAAATAATTTTATATACGTATAAAACTACAATCAATTGATAGCGGCAACATGTTTTTGCGACGTTGTACAATTTACCTCATCGTTTTGCTGCTTGTTGCAAGCACTGCATCCGCGGCACGTAAAACCAAACGTCCGGTTAAGCCGGCCAAAACATTTCCCCGCACCAATATAACACCTGCGACACCAGCAGCAGCAGCAGCAGCAGCGGCAGCACTACCAGCAGGCGCCGCCGTCGCCGGTGCAGCAGCAGCGTCAGTAGCCGCCGGCGCCTCAGGTGTTACAGCGCCACAACTGGCTGCAACGACACCGGCAGTCAGTGCTGGTGTTAGCCCCACACCTGCGCCAACAAGCCTCGGCTTGGCGGCAAGCAGCACTTTAGCAACACCAACACAAATCGGTAGCGGTAATTATGCCGGCAGCGCTGCAGGCGATGATAGCACCGGAAGCGACGGTTATGCGCTGGGTAATAATGAGTTGCCCAAACCGATGACGCCGCTGGCGGAGGCAAGCACCGGCAGCTCGGGCGCTGCTTCAGCATCCACCTCGGCTGAGGGTAAAACAGACCGCCCATCGGCAACTTTATCGCCAATCGAGGAGGATTGCGATCCGGATATGATTGGATTTGAGATTATCACTGGGTGAGTACAATGAGCGTAGGCTAATTGGGGGCGCAATACGGATGGGATATAAAGAGATATTGGTGGGATATGAATTTTATAGCTCAAGAGCGTGCAGGGAGCTTTTATACGAGTTACAAATGAGTCCGCAGGAAGCTTTAGCCAATTAGCATTTAGATAAGCTAATTTTTGTAAGTTGAAAGCTGCTACAAAAGGGCCAAATGTTTATTAGGCTAGTTTATAAATAGGTTTTCGATTAGGCAAATAACAAAAAATATTTCCATTTGTAGGATGGACTCATTTCAGCATAAAAATTCTTTAAAAATAATTCAATTCTACGACTAACAAATATCACTTGAATAACGGCTTTAATTATGGAAACTCGTTTAAAAAACAATCAACAAACATTTGAATCTCTATTAAATAGCAAATAAATAAATAAAACTGATTAAGCTACTGTGCCTCAGTTCAGTGATAAAGATAATACTGTTATCTTCACTAAACCTGTTGCTTGCTACGAATAATTTTTTTTTTTTTAATAATAGATTACATTACAAAAGGCCACCTTTTTCTTTATTTGTTTTTTCTTTCGAATTTTTTTCTTTTGTCAACTTACCTTATTGAGTAGCTAAGAAAGGTTAAATTAGATAAATTTTTTATTTGGCTTAACTTATTGTCAGCCAAAGCTCGTTTGTCATTCCAACATAATAGACTAACAGTTTTTAATTTCACTTTTAAAATCTCTACTAAAGAATATATAATAAATAATTTCAATTAACTCTTATTCATAAAGAGCGATTTGTCGTTAAATTTATAGTCTGAAAGTGAAAATGTCACATAAAATTTGTTTAAATCACCATTTATTTATTAAGCAAATTTTTCTAAGTTTTTTATTGTGATTTATTAAATAATGGAAATTTCACTTAATTTTTATTATCAATAAGAGAGAGAGAGTTTTAATGACTAAGTTTTTTTTTAACTTAGCTAATAAAAGGTCATTGACACCTTCTAAAGTATTGCTCATCTAAACTGTTGCATACATTTAGGTGTACTAAAAAGTAATCCAAAAAATATGCAATGAATCTGTGTTGCACGTACTATGAGTGTGATTGGATCACGTTGCATGGCGTTAGAAGGATGAAAGAAATTAACTAGAGAAATGTGGATAATCTCACTATGATTGCCACACCTAAGTAATGAGACTAAATCCATAAAAACCGTGTATTTCAAAATTATTCTACAACTCTAGTCCCCTAGAGTAGTTATACAACGATTACAACGCGTTTCTAATGCTTCGCTACATTTCTGGAACGCTTTGACTGGTACGTCCCGGCCGCCTGAATGTCCTCAATCGACTCAAAATGGGTTCCTTTGACTACCAATTTTGTTCGAGGGAACAAAAAAAAGTCACAGGTTGAATTGGGAAAGGTTCTTAACGAGCTGTTCGATACCAACCGAGTTTCAAATAAGGCGAGTCCTTTTCTTGTGACTAATTTATTACATTGCTGGAGGAAATAATAAAAGCTGCAGAGCTAAGTAGACAAGGTACAATACTCAACAACCGCGTCGTGAGTTTTCCTTTCTCCACATTGATAAAGAAGCGAAGCAAATGGGTCTGGTAGTGAACGAAGGCATTCGCGACTCGGCACCCACATCACTGTTGACAAACATAACTTCGAGGCTGTAGATAATTTTGTCTATATGGGGACCAACACTAGCACCAAGATAAATGGGAGCCATGAAATCCCATGCAGAGTCACTCATACCAACAGGTGCTACTTTGGACTGAGTAGGCAATTGAAAAGTTAATACCAGACTCTACGTGACGCGCATCATACCCGACCTCCTATATGGTACTTCAGCATATACGATGACAGCAACTGATTGGTCGGCGTTAGGAGTTTTCGAGAGAAAGGTTTTGCATAAATTTTTGCGGTCTCCTGTGAGTTACCGCGAATACTGCAGGCAATAGAACGATGAGCTGTGCGATTGATATAGTATATCGGTCGAATAATTGAAAGCGCTCCAGCTGTGAAATTATTCTATGTGTGTACAAGCCTGTGAACGCTGTGGAAGAGGAAGAGAAAGTATCCGGTGGAGAACGATCTGGTCTCACTTAGTACTTCCAACTGACGCCAAAACGCTTTGAGAAGGCACGATCGCGGTGTTGTTCATTTGACTATAAGTGCGTAGGCGGTGCCCACTTAAATGTAGAAGATGTTAATAGCTATGTTTAGTTAATTTTGATCTAAAAGATGCTCCAAGATCAATTGTTGATAATGACAATAAAATAATGGAAATTGTCAAGTCTGACTGTCAGGTGAGCACCGTTTCGATTACGCAGAAGCTACATATTGCATATAAAAAATATTTGGATCCACCACCAAAGAACACTGGATACTCAGAAAAGCTCGATGTATGGGTGTCACATGAGTTAACGTCAAAAATCCTCCTGGAAAGAATTTCTAACTTCGAATCGCTGCTGAATCGTAGCCCATTCGAAATATAACCATAGATTAATTGAACCGCATGACCAGAGCGCCGAGCTTTGACCAACAGAAGAGGAGTTGCGTTTCATCAGAACAACGCCATACCACACACATGAACAGTAACTCGCGCTAAGAACTTAATTAGGAAGCTCTTATGCACCCACCATATAGTCTGGCCGTCACACCAAGTTATTACTGTTCCTTTCTATGGCGAATAATTCTGCTGGTGAAGAGCTTGACTCAAGAAAAGCCTATCGAAGTCGATTCAAATATTTTGCCGAAAGGGACAAGGGTCTCTGCGAGAGAGGCATAATGACATTTCCCTCAAAATTTTAAATAACTTTCTAGCAAAACAGATAATTCTAAGTGTTTTAATTAAGCCTTCAATGTAGCGCAACAATATTGGATTACTCTTTACAAGACCTAAAATACAATTTTTTTCCAAAATAAAATAATTTCTTCCGCAATACAAAAGCAAAATCTCATAAATTTCTATGCGGGAAATGCAACAGTTTGCGCTTTATATAATAAGAATGCGTAATAGATCGAATTGCTTGCAGATTACTTCATTGTATGCGTCACACACACACACACACGTTGTTGTGTGTAGTTATGAGCCACATATTTGAATGTGTAGAAGCAAATTTATTCAATTTGTAACATAGTCGAGCAGTTAATGCTGCACTCTTGTTTTGTTTCGTTTCGTTCTTGTCTTTGTATCTGATTTTTGCCTTTTTCCAAACAACCCACTTTATGATATTTTCTGCTTGTTCTTGATTTTTCTGGTATTGTTGTTGTTCTATGTTATTTGTTGTTTTATGTATTTTTCAACCATCTATATAATTCTTTCTCTCTTCTTACGGTTTGCAGTTATGTTCTCTCGGCGCCAACAAAATTACTTGACACGCTGCCCGGCATACTGATGCTGACTGATTGCTTGGAGGCATGCCAGGCGAACGAATCATGCAGTGCAGTTAATTACGAGACCGGTCTATGTGTATTATTCAAAACCACCGCTGATGTATTGCCAGGTATGTATTGTATTGTATGTATGTGTATGTGTGTGTGTGTAAGCGGGTAAGCGGATTTGCGGTGCGGCATAAACGTTGCAACGTCGCCAACGTCATAATATTGATAAATATGTACCATTTACATGTTGCACACTCGTATGTGTGTATGTATGTAAACATGTTCATTTATTTATATGCATGCGTTCATGTTGTTGCAGCATAGCGGTGCTGGCGTTGCGATTGTAGGCCGTCAAACTGGTATTTCGTTGGTTTTTCTTTTTTACTCATCGTTCTGCTGCTGCTGCAATGCGCTCGATCTAATAAGTTTCAATGGCCGTGAGTACAGGCGATAGCGGCGCACAGTTGGTTTTTTTTTTATTGCTAAGTATCGCATTTCAACGACGCGCCACAATCGAAAAAAAGTAATAAAAGACTACAGTTGTGAACTCGTTTCGCAAAATCATAACAAAGTCGTAAAAGAAAAATATTTTTTCCTCATTTAAGAATATTTTTTTTTTTTTTTTTGATATTTTTCTTTCGTTGCTGTTCATTGGTTGTGCGCCCGCTATGCGTCAAACGCCATCCACTAAACTGTGGTAAATTGATTGTGGCAAAATTGCATAGATTGGCGTTGTATAATCGCCGACGCGCTCAACGTGCGCGTACACACCTACTTTTTACGCATAAAATTATGCGCCTGCGTCTTAGGCGTCCAAGCAACGCGGCAAAGTCTTTCGTCAAGGCAGTGTGTGAGTAGCGTGTGGCATATAAGCTTAAGGCGCAACAGGTTTCGTTGTTCATAACAACGCAGCAACTTCAACACACTAACAACCTACAACATGCTCCTGCCGCGCCTCTATACACCGTGACTCCGCTTATAAGCGACCTTTTTTTTCGCATGAATATTTTATTTTCGTTTCGCATACACACTACACACTCGTATGCACATAAGCCTAACGCACAATTTTTGCGCCTACTTTTTGTCGCCGTAGTAGTTGGCTCTTGGCAGGTTGGCTCGTTGGCTTGCTGGCTGGCAGCTGGCAGGTGCCAGTTTGTTCACACAGCAGCCTGTTTCTTGAGACTCTCAGTTGCGCGTTGCCTTTTTCTTAACGCCTGTTCCTTTACAGCGAATGGGCGTGTGCGTAGATACGTCACACATATTCAGCTTATGCGAGTATACGCACTACGCCAGTTACCGTTAAGAAATGTAAAGTGCGTGCACGCATGCGTGACGTTTGAGTTGCGTATTTTCTTGCGGCTTCTTCCTTTTTTGTGTTTTTTTTTTGTGCGTCACTTATTTACATTTTTCGCTCGTTTTTCTACTCACTTGTTTTCCTTCGACTATTTTTGGTTAAAGTTTTGAATTTTATTTCCTTTTCAGGTTCACTTTCGCGTTCACAATTTCCAGTTTTCACAATTTACGCACAGAAATCCTGTTTGGGCGTACGTCCTTGCTCGAAGGCCTGGTGCATTGATCGCGTTCAAGGTTATCGTCTAGTGGAGCATGTCAAATCTAGCCAGACTGTCTACTCGCGCCGTGACTGCCTGGAATTGTGCTTGGGCGAGACTGAATTTACGTGCAGGTGAGTGTTTGTATATATGTACGTGTAAGTGTGTGAGTTAATGTTTATAAGGGCAGCCGAAGGTGCCATGAGGCAGCATAGAAACTATAATAAATATAATGCAAGTGGTTGTGGGGAGACGAAGTTGATGTGAGATTAAATTGCTTGAAAAGTGTTTAGTTATTCCTCAAGATGGCAGCATAAGTGGGTCAAGTACGAGCAGCAGATTTTTATTTTGCTTTTAATAAAACTTTTTTTATTAATAAATTTTGTACGCCTCTTCAACAGATCCGCTAACTTCTACCGTCACTCTGGCTTGTGTGAACTCTCCGATATGGATCGTATTACTTTGACTGGCGCCAATAATGTGGAGCCCTATGATGGTGCTGATTATTTGGAAAACAATTGCGCCGAGGAGCCAAGCAAGTTATGTGAATTCAAACGCATTTCAGGCAAAATTTTGAAGACCGTCGACTCTGTGTACCAGGATATCAACAGCATTGATGAATGCCGTGATTTGTGCTTGAACTCACCATACAGGTAACTATTTAGTCGGTTCTTTAATTACAGTGGAAAAATACAGTAAATTTTGGATAGCGAAGAACAGCTCATTTGCTGGAGCTTAAAGCTTTTTTCTTAAATATACCCCTTTTTCGCATATGATAAGGCTATTGGATCCAACCTGTTGAAGCAATATCTTCAAGCTTTTGTAAAGCTCTTATTTAAAGCTTTTTCTTAAGATATTTTAAAACGATTACCCACCAAAAGCTTTTTTCTTTTCAATTAAATCAGAAATACTTAATTCGGAATGTTTTTGAAATTATTCTGGCATTCGACCTTCAATTATTTTGTATCTGAAGCTTTACTTATATTAGTGGAAAGCTTCTTAAGCAAATATTAGTTTTATTTCCTTTAAAACACCTAAGTACGCACTTAGCTTCGTAGCTCGTATAGCTTTGAAAATACTACGGAAAGCTTTTAATGGATTAAGTTAATTTTCAAGCACCTATTTACACTAAAAATATCATTTTTGATAATTTCGTAATGTTGCTGTAAAATTTTCGGAGCGATTAAGCTTATTTGCATATACAAGCTTTCCTGCATTTAAGCTGCAATCATAAGATGTAGTTTTTATTGAATTTTAAATTAATTTAACGAATATTATTAAAATAACTTTATGTATAATGCAACCCATTTCAGATGCCACTCTTACGACTACAACGATACTGGCGATATGGTCTGCCGCCTCTCTCACCACAGCCGCGCTACACTCACCGATGTGCTTGACCCTTACCTAGACGTGCCAGAAGCTGCCACTTATGAGCTCTCATCCTGTTACAATGTCTCCATTGAATGCCGCTCCGGCGAAATGATCACCAAAATTCGCACCTCCAAACTCTTCGATGGTAAGGTATACGCCAAGGGCTCACCCAAATCTTGCTCGGTTAATGTGAACAACTCACTCGAGTTTGATTTCCGCATGGGCTACAATGATCTCGAGTGCAATGTGCGTCAAAGTGCTTATGGCCGTTACATGAACGACATTGTCATCCAACATCACGATATGATTGTCACCTCTTCCGATTTGGGTTTGGCTGTTTCTTGTCAATATGATCTGACCAATAAGACGGTGTCGAATGATGTGGACTTGGGCGTTACCGGCGAAATTGAATCATCACTGAGCGAAGAGATCATCATTGACTCACCGAATGTGATCATGAAGATCACTTCACGCGATGGCAGCGACATGAAACGTATTGCTGAGGTTGGTGATCCGTTGGCCCTTCGCTTTGAAATTGTCGAACAGAACAGTCCTTATGAGATCTTTGTCCGCGAATTGGTTGCTATGGATGGTACAGATAATGCTGAGATTACGCTGATCGATGCCAATGGTTGTCCCACAGATCAATACATTATGGGCGCCGTACAAAAGTTGTCTCACAACCGCAAAGTGCTCGTCTCACAATTTGATGCTTTCAAGTTCCCCTCGTCGGAGGTGGTGCAATTCCGTGCACTGGTCACACCCTGTATACCACGCTGCGATCCAGTGATCTGTGACAATGAAGATGCAGTTATGGACGGTGCGGATGCCAAGTCGTTGGTCTCCTATGGACGTAGACGCCGTTCGGTGGCCAATGGAACTGACGGAGGTGAGTTTGTAGAAGAGAAAATCCGGAACTACGGCAAAGTAAGCTTTGAAGCTTTAAGTAGTAGAGCTTTTACAAAGATTGCCAACTTAGCTAAAATTAGAACTCACTAACCTTCTTGAAGATTTTATAAAATATTGAAATTTTGGTAGAAAGTCCTAAAAATTTATTCATAGTTTTAAAAAACACTTCGTAAAAGAACACCTTGTGAACATAAATTTAAACTTCAGGATAATAATAGCAATTATGAATTTAAAATTTTCTCGTAAGTTGTAAGTTGTCAACTTTTTAAAAATTAAAATCCTGTTTTGTGAATATTAATGTAGTTTAAATAAGTAACAATTTTTATTTATTTAATTTTTAAACTTATTTTTTTTTAATTTTAATTTATTATACATTTCTCTTCTCTCTCCACTCACAGCTGAATTCCTTTTGAGTACCCTGGCGCATGCGCAACGCTACAGACGCGATGTGAACGGCGGCAGCAATAGCAACAACAATGTTAGCGACAACAAAAAGCCAGCCGTCGACGATAATATACTGTTGGTGCAATCCATTCAAATCACCGATAAATTTGGCTTCAATCAAGAGGATGCCGACGCGTTGGGCGCCGAACACAAAGTCTATGCTGGAATCGGCGATGATGCGCTCACCTGCCTGAATGGTTATGGTAAGTACATAAGGGAGGGGGTGGTGTTCTCCACGGAGGGTCGTTAGATTGGGACGTGTACGCAAATCGATAAGCAATTTCGGTGTGTGGAAACTGATTTTCGGTTGCTTATTTATTTTAGCAATTTTTTACGCGCATTTCTTTATCGCCGCGTTATTACACGCCGCATATTTCATTATTAGTAAGAAAAAATGTTTTTTTTTTTACCTCTTGGTAGTCGCTAGACGTTGCTTGTAAAAGCGCTTGCATTTCGACTCTTGCCTTATGTCTGTTTGTCAATGTTGCAAGTAGATTTGCATAATTGCGCGCACAAACTCCAATCACGCCGTGCCGCGCCCTGCACTACTCCGCCGCGATTGAGCGCGCCATCGATTGCATTGTCAATTGTTGCGCCAAGCAATTGGCTAGCGAATTATATACGTGCAACATTGGCTGTGGCAAGCAAGTAGGAACAAACAATTGCACACACACGCAACTGCAATAACAGTGGCAAATTGCAGCGATGGGCATATCGAGTGGCACGTTAGTCGAGATGGTGCCACCAGCGGCAAGTGGCAGTGGCCGCAACACAATAAATTGGCAACCGAAAATTTGCATTTCGCTGCGCACATTTTCAATGCTGCATTGCGCCGACAATGGCATCTCTATCTATCGTCATGAGTTAAGTTAGCGGTAGCGCATTGATTGCGCGGTTTTGTGCCGCAACGACGATAATGAATCAATTACGCTAGGCAATCGCTGTTCCAACAACTATCGAGCAAAAATACCAAAAAAAAAAACAAATATTATTTGATTTTTATTGTGCTGCATGCGGTGTGGCACGCCGGAATAGAGTTATTCACAGGCATTGAGTTATCATATTATACATGCCTATATACATATATACGTTCATACCGCATGCTGCGCTGCTGCTATTGCATGCACTTTATGGTGTCGCACAGTGACTTATAGCGTTTCTCTCATGCTCTGTTGCAAATATATAGGTCTCCGGGTATGCGTTGAATGACCTCAGTTGCTGCATGGCATCGCAAACATATCTACAAGTTGCATATACCATATACTAAGCTCGGCTTGAGTTTTCTATCCTACTTGCTTCATTTACGTGAACAGTTGGTAGCACGCTCATTGATGCCACTGCTGTGTGCCTAATCAGTGCAGTGGCATGCCTACTCACGAGCGGGTCAGTGGTTCAATGCGCGTCACTTCAACTTTGCCACACTTATTTTTGGTAATTCTTTTCTTTTTGTTTCGAATTTGTTGCAGCCGCTGGTTTTGCACTACTCGCATCTCCTCCAATGCCACTCTTAAGTTTGTGCTAATTTTTGTTGCTGTTCATCTTCTTCTAGTATTTCTACTTCGGCGGTAGTCGCTTCTTCTTCTCATGCCATTGCCAAAAATTTGCACGCCAAAGTGTCGTGACAACGTGCGCCGTGAGCTGTATAAATGTTGCTTACACACCCCAACGACAACAACAGACGGGGCAATCCGAACGAAGCTAGCGAGTCAGTTTGTCTTCCAACTGCTTACTTTACAGCCGCTCAGCAGCAGCCCAAACGGAAGGCCAGCGCGGCAGTAGTAATAGCGCTGTTCTGCTGTTAGATTCGCTGGAGTTGCCAACAAACTGCGGCACCAATAGCGGCACTGACAACGGAAGCAGACTGCAGACAGAAGACGGGTGCAGAATTCGGCGTTGCGAGCTCTGAAAAAAAATAACCGTGCAAAACCACCTGTTGCGCTAATGTTGGTACCTACATGCCTACATGTGTTTGAGTGTGTTATTTTTGTTGTTCAGCGCGGGTAGATCACCGATTTGGAGCATTTCTAATGCTTTGGGAGAAAACCGCACATTTTTGTTGTGTTTTTTTTTTAATTTTTTTTCTGTATAAAAATATCCAATTTTATAGCACAAATTCCTGCTTGGTGCAGCGCGCTTTTTATGTGTCGCTCGGGGAGGCAACATGCTCTGCTGCTAATGTTTATGATGCATATAATATTTCAACGGTTGTTCTTTGACTTGTTTCGTTTCTTTTTTGCTTTAAATATATATATATATTTCCTGCATTGTTTTGCCCATTTCTTGTCTCGAAAGTGTGCCGATCCTGTGGCCATAAATATTACGATTTTTTATTTTCACGCTAAACATTTTTTACTCACATATTTGCGTTCGTTTGGCCGCTTCTGCTTCAAAAAAAAAAAAAACATTTTCAGTTTTGTTCCTTATTTTCCTATTTTTTTTTTTAAATATTCGTTGGCACTTATCGGCTTGTTCGGCAATAAGCAGAAGGTCAAATAGAAGCAGGTTAACGGGTTAATAAAGAGCGTAAATGTAGTTAATTAGTTGTGTTCGCAAGGCTTAAGCTCGTTGGACTTGTGAACGAGCAATTGGTGTGTTTCTCACATTATTGTGTTTCAAAGTTGGTTATTAAAGTACACATTTATGGAAGATCATGAAAATAATTTTCCCTTTTGGATTTTTTTGTTTAAATGAATATTTTGGCGAACTTGTAAAACTTCGTGTTCCTGTTCTTGGCATGTAAAAAGCCTTAACTCATCGTAATGAAAGCTTAATAGTTTCAAAATATAATAAATAGATAAACGTCAAACGTTTTATTTTACTATAAAAGCTTTTTGAGGTTGATGCGAGAGCTTACAGAGCTTTTGATCTTAAGGTTAGTGATTATCATTTTTTATAGTGCTATTCCAACGCGGAGCTTCTTTATACATTTTAGAAAGATTTTATGCCTAAATTGTAATTACTTAGCAGCGATAACAATGTAATTTTGTTTCCTAAAATTTGTGGCTTAACCATTTGTTGTACTCGTATAAGGTGAAAGCTTAAAAGCTCCCAGCTTTCCAACAAGTACTTTTAACTCTTTTTAGAATTTTTTTGTTTGAGAAATAAAATTGAAAATAACTTTAATGTGTTGACACTTAAAAAGCTTTTGGGTTTGAGCTTTTAATTATAAAATTTTGTGCAAGCTCACTTAAATGCTTTTTGTTATAGAGAATAATAAAAGGGAATACTAAAAATAAATACGAAAAATAGCCCCTGTGAGCTTTCCCCAAGCTATAGCACTTCCGTTTATTACTGTTTTGCTTAAAGCTTTAAAGCTTTTTGAATTTGACTTTAGCCAAAGGAGAAAAAGTTTTCACGAAATAGGGATAACTTGCTGCGAAAACACTAAAATTTGTACTTTAATTTATATTCTATTAAACCACATATTATTTTATTTTATCAAAAAGTGATTGTTAAGGAAGAAAATATTTTCAATTTAATTTCAAAAAAGTGTTGCATTTGTTTTCGGTTTAAAAATTCATTTACCAAATAAGTGTGAAATTTTTCATTTCCGATTTAAGACAAAAAATTTCTAATAAAATTGAAAAATATTTTCATAAAAAATACTCAAATATTTTTTTTTTAGATTTTCTATGATTTTTAGACAATTTTTCAGAATCATATTCAACCAAAAAAGCTATAAACTTTTTTTTACTTTAACAGTGATCACTTTCAAAAAGATTATCATTCGTTTTGACCTCATTCTTTGCATTCACAATTCGAAAAACCAGTAAATGTAAGCGCTTCATTGCATAAAATCAACAAAAGAGCAAAACCAACAGCGCATTTAGCGCACAGCGACAAATAGCCTGTCAAAAATCATATTTTCCAAGTAAACAAAACCACAGCAAATGCATTTATGTATGTACCCACCACCCAGATTTGTATTAGTTGAAGAGTAGGCAGACAAACAAACAAAAGAAGCACCAATATTTAGAAACTTGCATATGAACTTACACACACATTAATATATGTGAATAAATATGTGTGAATCACTAAAAAGGAAATGAAAGTCAGTAGTCGAAATCTTAGAATCGGTTAAATTAATGAAAAAACCAAAACCAATTCGACAAAATCTGACAGAATTGAGCAAAAGCTCGTTAAGAAAAAAAAAAAAAGAAAAATTAATTAAAATCAAATGGAAGAACCGCAAGCAAAGAAATATTTGAAAATAATAACAAGGCAGCCACTTGCTTACAAGTATGTACATACATACATACACGTACATATGTATGTAAATAACTGTGCGCTTTTAAAAAGCATAAGCAAATATTTCAATTTTTTCTATGCATACAAAAGAGAAATTAAAATTATAAATGCTAGTAAATAAATAAATTGTGGGCAAGCAAGTTTAAATAATGCGTCACGACCGCAATGTGCGGCAAGCAAGCAAACTGCTGCCAGCCGCCTGCTACCAAATGTGGACGGTATTTGGAGACAAGCGTGCAATGACAGCCAAAATTGTGCATCCAAGAGGAAGGAAGAAAAAGAAGCAGAAAAATATAGAAATACATAAAGCATTTAAGAGGCAATAAGTGAAGCCCGAAAAGCAATCAAGCGGTCAAGCAGCTGTGCGTATTCATGTACGCACACACACATGCACACGCCCATACACAAATAAGTACGAAGAATTTTGTGTATGTCTATTTGACATAGAAAACAAGCGTGTGTCGGACCAAAAAATTAGTGAAATTTATTGCTACGAAAATGCAGGAAAGCCGCACGACAAGCGGGCGCTACGAGACCTATAAGTGGTGGATACCACTTAAAAATAGATAAAAAAAAATAAATAAGTATATAAATAATGATAAGTAATAAACAAAATTAAAAAAAAAACAATAAGAAAAGAATAGAAAAAAATTATTAAAAAATATTTTAAAATGAGAAAAAAAAAATTAAAATAAAAAAATTATAAGAAGGAAAATTAACAGAGAGTTTTTGCAAAACAAAACACGGTTTAATGCCACTCAAAATTACTGTATTGGCCGAATGCAAAAATTCCGAAACGTTTGATATCTACTAAGTCCTGCAGAAAGGGTATATGAATGAAAGTGACTCTTTTTCGTGGTTGTATTGCATTGAAGATAAAAAATTTTTTGTCTGTAAATTTAAAAAAAATTATTAAAATGTCTAGCTCGCAGTGAATTGTTCGTAAATTATATTTGCAAAAAATAAAATGTAAACTAATTAAAATTTTTTTTTCAGAACTCAAATTTTTTGCGAAAATTGTGTATGCCTAAAAAATCATTTTTTTTTAACTTCAAAAATACATGAGTGGAAAAAATTCATGCCGAAAATAAATAAATGAATGATTAACATTTTCCGCACAAATTTTTTCTACTCATGTAATTTTGAAGTTAAAAAAAACAAATTTTGAGGAAGTAAAAAAAAAACTAATTAATCAATGAAAAATATTTTTATGTAACTCGAAAGTGTTAGATTCTTTATAAGCCTCACTTTTTTTGTTGGAAAATATTTTTCAATTATTGTAAATGGTTAAACAAATTAGTGTTTTTGAACGTACTGAGTTTAAAAAACATATTATTTCAATGTTTTCCAATTTGGTTAGTAGATAAAAAATTGAGTAAAAATTTTTCACAAATTGCTAATATTAATTTGTAAAGTAATATTGATTTGTAATAAAGTAATGAACAAAAAAAAATTTCTGAAAGTCTTGTAGCATATTTGAACAAATTAATTAAAAAATACGATTACCCTCCAAAAAAGTTTAACTGCACAACTCAAAAATTTTAAACACAACAAAATCTTTTTGAAAATTCAGTACTTAGTATGTAAATAAAAAATATTTCTGCGCATAATTTAAAATTATCATAAAAAAAACTTTAACTCCAAACTTTTATTTGCGCAAAAATATTTTTCTTCGTAAAATAAAAATACTTTTAATTTTCAAAATTTGCTTCCATCAGCCAAAAATGTTTGTAGATATTTAAAAATATATTTAGAATTCATTAAAAACTTTTTGCGACTGAAATTGGCACTTTTGTGCGACAAGTTTATGGGAAAAAAAGTGTCTTTACATTTGACTGAAAGCATACATCATAAACATAACCAGTAACGGCGCGCTTAACTGTTTATTTATTTGCTTACGTCAAAATACTTCTTGTTTTCGCTTACATATTTATTTATTAATATACTCGTAGACACTAATGTATATTGGTTTTTTTTTTTTTTGTTTTCACTACCGCACATTTTTGGTCACTAGTTACAACTGAGAAGAGATGCTCAGTCATCTCTTAAACAGAACAATTTTAATTTGCCCCAACAACAATTCACATAATGCTAGATCATAGCGCTAAATAGAATTTCGAAAATTACTTACAAACTCCCATTCACCATTGCCGCACAAAGGGGAGTCAACTGCGTCGCATGAAGAAGTCTAGATGCGTGGCGTTGCATGTACGCCTTAAGCTTTCCATATATGCAACGTGTATGTTAGGGAGACGAAATTAGATGTTTGTGCGGTTTGAAGTGCATTTGGTTTTCATCAGCCTGCATTTGCTTCAAAATTTTCTGCTTTCGAATACTTTAAAACCGTTTTTCGGTCACTTTCACCACTTTTCTTCACATTTTTTTTTCTTGGTATGTAATATAGACGTATGTATGTATGTATGTCTGTATGTCAGCATTAACAATTGATTTGGTAAATTAGACATGTACAAGTGTGCTGACAGCGACAATAATAACAACAAGCGCCAAATGCCAGCCCAACGGCCCACTGTCCACGCTGCTGCTGATGATGATGATTACTTTCTACACACACACACACATACACACAAGCAATGAGTGCGTTTGCTATTCTACTTGCCTTTCGTGACAACTACAAAACAACCATCCAACAATAATAACAACAATGATAGTAAACAACCTTGCCAACGGCAGGCAAGCGCTGATGAGCTATTGCATTTTATTTTTATTTTTTTTGTTTGCTTTGTGGCAAGTGCGTTTTGTCAACGGTGCTTTTGGTCAGCAGCGTGGCTGGTGAATGTTGAGTCGCATTCTTGAGTGAGAAAACAACAGTCGATGCAACACATTGTCACAATTTTCTGTTGTTTTGTGTAACGCCAAACCAGCAACAAGTTCATTGTGATTGTCATTGCTTGGTGTTGTTGCTGTTATTGTGTTGCCTTCTAACACATAACTATTTTGTACAAATGAAACTTTTGGTCAGTCATTGATAGTTCTGGGGCTCAAAGCTTGTAGCCGGTTGCTTGACTTCTTTTCGCGAAATAAGTATCTGCGTAGATATGTATACAAAGAAGTGTATGTGTGTGCTTGCATTGAGTGCCTGTTGCATGCCAATTGTGTGCAAAGTATGCGCTTTCATAGGCATGTTTGAGTTTGGTTTTTGTGCTTCAATGACAAACTCAGTCAGTCAGTCGGTCTTTCGGTCGGTTGGTTATTGTAGCTGTAGTCTCATCATATTGAGGGCGTCCCAGTTTAAGTTGTTATTTTTCAGCATTCATTTATGTCATTTTTTAGATATGTTTTGTATTATTTTCTTTTTTTTCTGCTTTTCTTTGTACAAAAAATGTGTCAAATATGGCTTTGGGTGGCAGAAATAATGAAAATGGCATACCATGAATGCACAATGAATTTGTTGCAGCAAACCGGTAGGCATAAAAGTGCGAATAAAGTTAAAAAAAATTAATTTTTAGACATAAATAGAAAACAGTTTAATATTTTTTATACAAATTTTTTTTTGCTAAATTCAGTTCTCAAGTTTAACAAAAATTTATAAAAAACACTTTTGTTGAATTTATTTTGTTTCATTTTCACTTTTTCGCTTGTCATTCCCACACTACAATTAATAATTGCTCAAAAATTCTAAAATGTAATGAATAAGCATGCCAAACTTTTGAAAGCTTTCTTATCACTCACAAAAGTTCATGGTACTTCCGTGCGCAAAATTTGTGGTCATAATTACTAATTCTTCGCTTAAAAGCGCTTGCTATGAAAGCCCATTAAGGCACAAATATTAGTTATGAAAGCTTTTACTTGGAAAGAGTGATAGCTCAATTACGACCTCCTTTTGTAGCATCACAGCCGTTGAGTTGGACCAAAAATACAAAACGTTAGCAAGTTAAGACTTTTGCATAAATAAATTAAAAATGAAATTACTTCTTTTGAGAAGAAATTAATAATCGTAAGCTTTATAAAAAGTGCGAAAGTGAAAGCTCAGAATTAGAGTTAAATATCGGTTTATTTAAAATATTTCGGACTTTCTGTAACTAAAACGAAAATCTCCAAAAATATATTCCATGAAAGTTTTGGCTTTACAAAGCTTTTAATAAATAGTGTAAATGACTTCTAAAGTAATTTAAATCATGCGAGGATTCGTGGGGTCAAATACGTACCAAATGAGCATTCCATTTCTGGGGCTTTCAACCACAACAAGTGTGTCCCATACGTTACTTAAAAAGGCCCTTCATAAGTAAAAAATGTAGATATATTCACCTTAAGAGGAATGATCGAAATTTAAGACGAGTCATAAAACGGCAGTTAATTATGGAGGGAGAAACTACTTTATTTCAAAAAGCTTAAAATAAATTTTTCCTCATACCAGACATTTTTTGAAATAAATTAAAATAAGTTTTGATGAAAAAAGAAATTATTATTTTCATATGAAAGCTTGCATCTTTCAAAAAGCTTTCTTACAAAAGCTCATCCAAATATATAAGAACTTACGCCGCCAGTGTTTAATAAAACACCTCCTGATAATATTACATATATAAATACTCATCGCTATTTTATTATTTTTTTTCGTTAGCATAGAGTTAATAGTTGTTGGTATTATAACCGTACAAATGCATATTTTTCTTTTCTTCAAATTTTTTTTCATTTCAAATAATACAAATATTAATTTTTTCTTCTTTTTCTCTTCTCTTCCTCAATTGCCATAACTTTAAAAGGTCTTATTGTTGCCGGCGCTGTGTTCCTCTTGGCCCAATTCACCATTTACATCATCTGGAAAACCGTGCAAAAGCGCTCGAAGAAGGAACGTTATCTCTACCAACACGACTCAGCAGCGGCCGCCGCGAGCGCCATGAATTACGGCGCACCCACCATGGTTTATGGGCAAGCGGCAGGACCACACTGCGGTGGCGTCTCCGTAGCATCACATTCGGGTTCGAGCAATGCCAGCGACACACTGGGCAAACTCTACGATAGTGGCATGACGGGACGTTATGGTCAGCAATATTGAATGGGGAAAAATTAATTGGGTTGCGTATTGGATTGGATTGACTTGGGTGGGAGACAATAAAAGTATTCCACATATTTAACTAATATAAAGATAAAACTAGCAACAGAAAACAGGACATACTATATATACAAATATGCACAAGAACACTTAAACAAAATAAGAGAACACAAGTACACACACACACATACAAACACATTTCAAAAATACAAGATGTTCGAGGCTTAGGCGTAGTTGTCCTTACTTATAGTGTAGGCTCCACTTTTTTATACTTTTATACGTAACGAAATTATGAAAACGGAAAATTGCAACAAAAAAAAAAAAAAACAATATTAAAAAATTTAGTAGGCATATTTTTATATAAAATATAGTATAATATTTTAGTTTTAAGTAAATTAGTTTTATTTAAAGAATAATACTATTGAAGACTTTTCTTACTATGCAATAATGGGTGTATACTAAATGTGAAAGAAGTCAAGAGTGAAGAATAATTTTTAGTTTTAATTTCCCGAATCTTCGCATATTTCTATTTCTGACTTAAATTCCATTTACTTTAAATTTATTTAGCTCTAAAAAAACTATTTAAATAGGTTTATATATTATATAAATTCAGCTTAAGCGACAATAATTATTTAAGAGGGGTGAGAATTATTCGACAGTAGTGAGCTGCCAGCATATGCGCGCTTCTAACGGTGATTTCGAACGGCCGTAAGCGTACAAAACCGACCAGCAACTAACTAGCCAACGTAATTTTTTTCTCCAAAAAGAAATGAAAACTAAAATGGGGACTGCTTATTGCTACTTAAGGAAAGGAAAACTAATAAAGTGTTTGACGTAGACTTTACTGATAAACAAATACAAATAAATGCACAACAAACTCCGACTGAAATAAAAACCGTGGTTAGGTTAGTTGTACATCGTTTTAAGCTGAAATTGCTGTTTAGGACTGCGCATAGGAGAGCATGCACACACCAAAAAAACAAAAAAAAAAAATAAGAAAAATTACTAAAAGCTAAAATTTTATGTTTACAAGGCGAACATAAAGTGAAAATATAATTTTTAATTTTATTTTAGTAAAATGCAAACTAGTTAGGTTAACAACACGCCACAAAGTGCATTATAAAAATATTTATGAGTAATTAAAAAAATATGAAAATTTAAAAATTTAAAAATACAAAGAAAACAACAGCAGCAATAGGCTTCTCAACACATTGAGCAGCTAGCAAAGGGACATAGCCAATTTTTGTTTAAAAAACCAGCCTACCACTACATTCACTTCCTAAAACATACAAGGTACATATAAACCTGCACAATTGAATGAAAGAAACTACAGTAAAGCACAAGAGCTAAGCAATAGAGAATTAAAAAATATCCTAAGTAATTTTGTATCAAAATGCGAAGGCAGTTTTTCACTACAAAATGTAATAATATTTGAAAGCATTTTTTCCACCAAAAATCCTGTAAGTGCAGGCCTTTGAGTTTTACAGTTATTTAATACACTTATTTAAGTAAGTTGCTTAACTGCATTAAACTACATTAATTCATCCATGAAATAACTTTTCGATAAAACACACATAACAATATTTAAACAATAACAACACTTCGAGGTGCTCTTTAATTAGCAATTTTATATTTACAATTTAATATGAATATTTTTTTGTTTATTAAAAATTATTTTTAAAAATGCACTTTGTGTCGAATAAAAAAAAGTAATATATAAAATAAATAGACACGAAGGTGGTGTAACTAGCAATGAAAGAAGGCTACAATAACAAGCACAAAGCAATCAATATAAACTTAAATGGATCCATTTGACATTTTTTATATGAAACTATGCTTAGTAAAATTGCAATACGAATAACTGAAGTAAAGAAATACGAGAATTATAAAATATATAATAAATGCATTAATTCGAATATATAATATTTAGATTTAGCATTTTTTTATACGAATTGTACTGATTAAGTCTATGAAACCAATAAAGCAAAATACGTATAATAAATATTAATAATTAATTCAATGTCGTTTTTTCATTTCTCACTAAAATTACCATTACTTGAAGTAAGGAAAAAATCAAAATTTCACTTTGAAGAGGAACGAATGAAAATTTTAAGTATATGCCAGAGATGCTTAACTAGCGAATGAAATTTGTATTAAAATGCAATAATTCGTTTAATTCAGAGATGCTCATCATTAATGTTAATATTAAATAGGCTGCTTGCCTTTATCTGTTAACAAATTAAAATTATCTCTTAACGATTCAAAATTATCTGTTAGCGATTTGGCCTAATCTGTTAACGATTTAACCTTATTTGAAATCGATTTAACATTATCTGTTAGCGATTTAACATTACCTGTTAACGACTTAACTTTATCTGTTAAGGAATAAACATTTCCTGTTAACGATTTAACATAACGAGAGCATTTCGTTTCGGGTAAAACCGATATAAAATCTAATTTGATATTAGCTTTAACGATAACATTTCCAAATGCGTCAGCCGAATCGAATTTTATTAACGTATAATTTAGCGTTACTATACAGCCTGGATCTATGGGCGAAGCGAGACATATATTATTTCAAGAACAATAGTAGAATACCACCGGCATACAGAGTAGTTAGTCGATTTAATCGGAATGGCAAAATTTACTGAAAAATGCGGTGACATACTGATAATTTCAAAATCAGGGCAAGCTTCATAATAACAGCGCCAGTAGAGTACTCGTTAAAGTGTGAACAACAACAAAAAATTAACGAAAACATACACCGGATTTGCTTAAACTAAATTGCAAGGAGCTTATATAATTGGCGCTTTGTAACCACTGAAGCGATTTTTGGCCTGGCTCCTCCTCCAATTTGTTATTTTACGTCGTGATGTTTTTCCAACAAATGGAGCGACCTACAATTTATACTAAGCCGCCTCTGAACGGCTGATGGTTTTTTATGAGGAGTCTTTATTTCACGTAAGAAATACACGCGGAGGGGTTGTATGAAAATTAGCTCCCAAGCAAGATATTGATAAAAGAAGTAATTCCTGGTAATGATGGTTAGCTTACCTTTTCAATATGCATTATAAATTTGTTAGATCCACGTTATATTTTCGTTTCATTCACAGATATTTTTCGAACATAGAACTCAAACCACTCTTCTAGTTTAAAATCTACGTCAAAATAGCGAAGTATCTCTTTTAAATCGCTTATAACGAAACGAGGTTCCACACAAAACGATACTGCCTGGTACTGTAGAGGGCATAAAATTTCTTCCATTAATCTTCCATCAGCGCGCTTGCATTTATCTTTCGGCTTCTGCATCATTGTTGAGAGAAGTATCTTTGAAATTTTCGACAATGCAGTTTATCCAGAAACCAGCCTCAAAGCCAACAACACTAAAATGGTTTAAAATCCACCATCAACAACTAAGACTTCTTTCGACTAATTGGATAACTGAAAAGGTATGGCAAAACTATTTGAGCCGTTTTTTACATAAGTACTTTCCCGAAAATTTATGATCCTTTGCTAGTGTTGGCAAATACTATGGATGCTAAAACGATGATCTGATGAAGATTCGTGAATTTCTGACATTCTTCCAGATATATAAAACTCTCATGTATTGACGTTGCCGGTATTCGATTCAGTACCCACGTATGGAAGCAGGGAAGAGAAAGGCTTCGACAGAAATGAAAATAACTCATCACGGTTCTCCAATCGGTATTAGGGTTATAATCCTGGTGGCCGTCGCAGACGAGTGGTTAGTACTGCGTACTGCCATTTGAAAGGCCAGGGTTCAAATCCTGGCACGACCAATAACAAAAGGTTATAGGAAATTAATTTATATAAAAAATTAAGTTAATTTTTCTAATTACGGTCGCCCTTCGGCAGGGATTATCAACCCTTCCGAATGTGTTAGAAATCTATAAAATAAAGGCTTCTCCTAAAAAAATCATCAACTGCTCAAAGGCGTCCGGTGTGCCTCTCCATGCATTGGAAAAACATGAAGACGCAAAACCACAAATTGGAGTGGGAGCTCCAACCAGAGTCGAAAATCGCCTATGCGTTTGCAGTAAAAGGAAACACATTATTTGTCTGTATATCGCTTTTGACTTTACCGGTCAATCGACCGCCTAGATCGTGCGATTTAAAGCCTTTTGACTATATTTTGTGGGGCTATGTTAAATCTAATGTCTATACAGCCAATTCTGGTACAACTGACGCAATGGAGGACAACAATGAAGTATTTATTCGCGAGATACCGGCCAAAATTGGACTAAGCGGATGGATCATTTGGGGTGCAATAACGGTCAACATTTGCATGAAATACTCTTCAAACATTTAAATATATGGTCCGTACTATCGATTCAAATAAAGACTTCATGCATTTTTCTGAATTTTATGTGCTTTATTTTTGAAAAACTTTCCTATAGCCTTTAAAAAATCACCCTTCATTAGGTGTAGTAAAAAGAAATTCATTATTTTTCCAATATATGGCGCTATTTACCTGTATCTCGGTTGTTTATGTCCGATCCGGTTTCGCTAGAAATATGATATTTCGTTTTACAGTTTCACTTCTACAGGGGCTGATACTGTCACAATTAATCATGCACAATTTCGGTTTCAATCCGGTAATTTTGATGTAAAAGATGATTTACGGAGTGGAAATGTCGACAAAATCATGGACATTGTCAAGTCCGAATGTCAGGTAAGCACTGTTTTGATTGCCCAAGAGCTAAAGATGGCACAAAAATTCGTTTGGAATCATTTGAATAAGGCTGGATCCGAAACGGAAAAATTAAATCATTAAATTTTATGCAAAAATAAAGTATTTCCTTTTACTACACCTAATATATAATAATCCTGCTAGTCGTGCCTACACCGTAAGATCAGATCGAAGGCCAGGTGTTGCGGTTCGAGCAGTACAGTTCTGTTCACCTGATTAAAAGGCTTTTTCAGTTAATTCTTGATTTTCCAAACAAATCATAGCTACTTGAGTGGAAATATTACGGTAAAGGTAGCACAATGATATAATGTACTATATATAAATTTATGCTTTAGTCTACAGTTTTTTTCGTGTATCTTAAGATAAATATAGAAGGAAAATAATGTAAATAAATTTTGCACGCTTTCAAGTTTTGGCAACCACTCTTAAAAAGATAT